ATATACTTGAATACTGCCCGGGTTTCCCCCACCAGGGAAATGTGAAGGATGATTCTTGCTCAGCTCTATCAAGTGTTTTCAACCCCTCCTAGAAATACAAAGTGTTTTTAATATTATTCTTTATGACTGTGTCTACTACAAGTGAGATGATCACAAAGTCACATCACCTCCAAATGCTTGAGTCTTGCATTCGAAGGATGAAAACTTGGGCTTCCACTGAAGCCAACTGCAAAACTCCCTGTTCATCTCAATGGGGTCAGGCTCCCACAGTGTTCATTGGGAGACGGTTATTTTACTTCTACAGGGTGCTTATTTTACTTCTGTATGTTGGTAAATCACTTATTGAGCCTTTCACCCAAGCTCTTTTTTTTGTGAAACAGTCAAGCCTAGCAACAGCCCAAATCCACCATACGCTTCATGTCCTGTTAGGCTGTATTCAGTAGATGCACCTAAGGCTTCAGTATACAAACAAAACGAATCTGTTCTCTCCGTAGTTTGAAAAAGCTAGGAGAACCTCAGCTTGTAAAAATGCAAGCTTTTACAAAAACACCACATCCTCTGAAGACATACAACTGTTATCACTATGCACTATGGGAACCGCATGGTGACAGTGTGAAAAAAAAAAAAAGGAGATCTTTCTACTCTGAAAGCATAAATCCTTACTGCCTCACCTAAGGGAAAAATCTCCTTAGCAGTCGAGAGTCTCAGATCGATGGCCGAGTAGTTCTGATTTTAAACTCTTCCTATTTATACACACTAGTTAAGTTTTATACTTTGTCCATAAAAGAGTTGTCTTCATGTCCAACCTGAAAAGAGAAAATGGAGAAGGAGGAGGGTGGGCCAGGGGCTGATGCACTATACTAGGTCTTGGGAGACCTGAGTTCAAGTCCCAGCTCTGCCACAGACTGTCTGTGTGACCCTGGGCAAATCCTTTAGGCCTAGATCCTTATAGCTATGCAGATACCCAACTCCTACTTCGGCATCTCAGTCTCATTCATTTCAATGGGAACCTGATGCCTAATCATTTTTTGAGGGGGGCGCTGGTCCTTCTGAACCCAGAAGCACCTCCACTGACAGGCTACAACACCTAATAAGGAGGCATTTGGCCCCAGGGGGGTGATCCAAATGGACTCTGTCGTCTACTAGTCAGGGCACCCAGCTGAGATGGAAAGGCCCGGGCTCCAGTCCAGGATTATTTCTGGGTTTTCCACACATTTTGCATCAGATTGTCACCGGCTAAACAATTCGTGACCCAGGCAGTTGGAAAAAAATCTGGGACCCCTGCTTAATTCCTACTACCTCCCATGTACTGGAAGGGAAGGGCAAGGTGATCTTGCCCCACCCCACAATACCAGGACATGTCAACCAAATGAATTACAAGTGCTCAAACCCACCCCCCCAGGCTTCAGCAACGAACTGTGACCAAACAGGTTCACAGTAATAATGCATCCAAACAGGCCCACTCATTTCAGACTTCAAAGTCGTTTCTGTGCTGCCCAGAACAGACCCCTGGAGTTTAAAGACAGAAGCAAACTGAAAAATAAAACTTGGAAAGGCACTTCCCAGACCAATCTGTCATGGCACCAGGTTGCACCGAGCACCAGGTATAATCCTCTACTCACTTCCTAACTCCACAAGCTCATGTTAAACCTCAAGCTATTCCCAGTACGGACGCAAAGGACACAGAGCCTTTCCCAGCACAGTGCACCCAAGAAGCCACGCAGCCTTCCTTAGTGAGGAGCCATTTGTGAGGAATAATGAACAGACTATCTCCAGTGACTTCTTTCTTTTGAATACATAGGATTTATCACGGGCAAGAGGAGGGGTAACCTAACGAGGATCTCTCATTCGGGTATTTAGCAACATGTCTCTGAAAGTTGGCTTCTCCGAAGTCTGCTCCAGTGCCCCTCAAATGAGAAGGCCTGTTTCTTCCCCATGGGAGACTTGGACATGGCTAAATTAAGCAAGGTTGGTTCTCTCCTTTTTGCACTGTTGCCGTGTAGGACTCCATCGAAAGCAGAGCCAACGTTAAAACGTTTGATGTGAGAATACCGACTGCAAGTCCGACACTGTCCTAGTAGGAAGAGACATCCTGCTCTCGGCATCTTCCCAAATTCAACACAATTCCTGCGGTTCTCTTTCTGAGACTCCTTATCAAGGGGGGGGATTTTCCTTCCCTCCCTCCCCCGTGGCCATGTTGGACCAAAGCTACATGGGAATGCCTAAAAAATACAACCATTGTCACGAGACACCCCTCCAGCCCCTACGCATCCCCAAACACAAGACTCAGAGTGGATGTTAAGTGTCCTTCAAGATTTCTCTCCTTCAAAAAGCCATGGGGTTTCTCAATGACTTGCTCCTTCATTCGACCAGGAACCTACAGGTTTTAACCTAACGACATGCATACTAGGAACATCAGAGCAACACCAAGAAAAGACCTGGTCTCCAAATGCAATGGTCTCCAACTTGTGCAGGCCCCCAGGCCACCAGACTGAGCAAGCAACACGCCACTGACACCATCGTGCTCTGCTCTCCGTGCCAACCTGAAGCCATCTCTATCTATGCAAAGCAAACCTTCCTGCAGCCAAAAGCAAGACGTCCCAAAGGCCACAAGCAAGCCACAAGTGGGTACCACTGAGCTGTAGAGTTAATCAGCTTGCCCTACATCTCAGGAGTGCCCTGCATCCAAACCAGAATCACTGATCCCTCCTATCCTCCTGCTTAAAATGATGGTCTCTCTCCTGCTCCCCCTCCCATCTGAGCTCAAAAGAGACAGGCCTGATTCTCCTATCACTAATACGAAGTGCATAGCACATGCGCCTGTTGTGAGTAAATGGAGAGCGTTTCCTCTTCACCAAAGAAAGCTTTTCCCTCCGCTTTCCCATCATGGTTATCACTCGCACAGCCCCATAGCTGGTATGCACAGCTGGAGGGCATGTGCACTGTTACTGCTTATTATTTTTATTGCAGAAGCCTCAGGCATGGATCAGACCCCCCCCCCACACACACACACCTGTGCTAGGAGCTGTACAAAAAAAAAATTACTCCAGAGCTTACAGCCCAAGTGATCTGGACCAAGGCTACTCTTTTAACACCATGGTGTGAATTAACTCCACTCTGAGCCAGTCTCGAGAACACGGTCTGCAAAACATGACAAGACACCAATGCTTTGCTAAGACAGACTGTAGGACTACCTGCACCATCAAGCCGAACTCGTGGTAGCCCCAGTGAGAAACCTCTGAAATAAAAGACCTGATTTCTAAGGCAAAGGAACCTCAAAGCAGCTTACAAATGACCAGCCGCCAAGGAAATTTAATTTTAAGTGAGAAACAAGTTCCATGAGCAGATATGTCCAATGAATTCAAGCTCCTCAGGTCTCTTGCAATCATGTCAGAGTACAAGGGGACCAAAGTCCTCAGGAAAAACAGCCATTCCCCAGCCAAGGGCATAAATCCTACCCGCCTCATACACCAACCCCAGAAAGCAGGCAGTAAGGATGCTCACATAGGAACAGAGGACTGGAAAGGGGCTATCACGACTAATCCAGACACACCCAGCCTCTTCCCACTTCATTGGTCATTGACCTGGACAAGAGCAGAATTAATTCAACACCTAGAGCTTCCAAAACCCCATGCACCATTTTTCCAATGTGCAGCTTTAGGGGATCCCCATTTCCACCTGGTAGTGAAAGGAAAAATCAAAATAATGGGGGGGGGAAATTGGGATCATAGCAGCAAATGACTCAGCACCCATCAGCATCTACAGGGGACACCCACCCTCCCCAGGGGAGCCAAGAGGGTGCTGCAGGGGCTTTTTCAGAAATCTGGATCTCAGTCCGTCATTACTAACCCAAAAGCAACATATCCCGTGTCAGTCTCCTAGAAATGCAGGATTGCTGGAAAAAGCATTTAGTCTTATTAGCAAAAAGGCAAACACCATAATGTACAATGCATGAAGTACCCAGCAACTTGCAGAAGATGAACAGTTCAATACTGAAGGTTAGTTATTGAGACGCCCCCTCCATCAGCACGGTCCCTCTGCGCTGGGCACAGCGAGATACAGTCCCTGCCTTCAAGAGCCCAGAGCTTGACTTTTAAAGATATGTAGGCCCTCAGTCCCACTAAAACCCAGAAGGGTTTGCTTCTAAATATCTTCAAATAGCTGGCCCTGATTGGACCAGACGGACAAAGAGTGGGATACAAAAATACAACAAGCAAGCAAAACAGAGAAATGAGGATCAAAGCGGTTAGTGATCTCCAGGTAAAGTGGTGGCAGAAGTAGGAACTGAACCCAGGCCAGTCTCAGCACCTTAACAAGCCCACCACTAAAGTGCCTTCAATTTTCCAAATAAAAATAGAAAAAGATTAAAGAAATTAATTAAAGGCTTTTTTTTAGATTTAAAAAAAGCCACACTAATAGTTCTGCAGATGCTTATCAAATCATTCAGGAACGTTTGCCCCAGTCCAGAGGTCTGGCACACAGATCCTGCACTGGATCCTACCTGGAATAATTAACTAGGATGCCAGTGGCATACAGGCCTCATACTAGGTTTCTGGGCAGAGAAAACTGTTACCCAGGCAAGGTGATAGCCACAGATCCCAAGTGCAGTAACCAATCCTAACGGAAGTTGCAGGCACACCTAAAAACACCATATGCAAAGTATACACTCTGCCAGCAGGGAGATGCTTTGTGAAAAATTCTCCACTAAAATGCTTGGGTCAAAAATATTTCCTAAAAGCAACTTAGTAGAGCTGCTAAACAGAAAGAGGGAAAAATTTCACCAAAAGAAAAAAAAAGGGGGGATTTTTATAATTTTCCATTTTCATCCCCGCAACGTTTAGAAAAAAATGGTGGAAAAACCCAGGAAAAATGTTCTGCGATCATTTTATCAAGTTTTTTTCTGGTCTTTCTCCAAATGTCAAAAAATAAAATTCAGCTTCTTCCAGAACAAAAATGTATTTAAATGTAAAAGTGAAACGGGTAAAAGCACAAAAGCTCACCTGAATCAAACTGTTCTCTGTTCCCATTGGCTGGACTCTGGCCCTTCTCCTGGGATAGATGCTGTGTTTCCTGCATGCTGGAAATCAAAGGCGTCCTCGTCTCCATTGTTCAGATTTCTTCCTTTTCTAATTCATCCTGCAGCAAGAATTTCCTAGAGGACAACAAAATACAACAGTGAGCAACCTATTCCACCCAAGTAAGGGCAGTCTTGAGTGACCCTGTAGTTTAAAGACAGAAAATTTAACTGTTGACTGTTGTCCCATGGTCTTTTTAGATGCACTAGCTGAACATCTCCAGAGCCTGGGTTTGAGATGGGGATGATAATTCCCCCTGTACAGGTGAGGAAAAGAGAGGTGAACTCAACCCAAACGCGCTGAATCGACCCGGTTTCTTGCATGAGCTTTAACGAGTCCGGATCAGACTCGCATTGACATACTCAAGGTAATATAAAGAAATCTATGGCTGAGGTAGGACCAAGAATCAGATCTACCCCACCCCAGTGCAATGCCTTAATTACAAGGCCAGCTGAAGATTTGATCTGCCCATGCAGTCCTTCTTGCTCCCAGGTTCGACAGAAGCTGTGCATACGTCTGGTGCACTGAAAAGCAGCGTGGTCCAATGCTAAACTAAGAGGATGTACAACCGGGGCTCTTTTAACCAAGTTGCTCCTGATTCACTATGCCTTCACTTCTTCCTTTCCACAACACACCAGCTTATACAGGCCACTGGCAAATGACTGCCATCCTGGAGCAAGAGAAATGCACAGGACACCAAGCCTGAGTTTCAATCCAGCTAGCTTGAGTGCCACCAACACCCGATATGTGGCAGCACAGACTTCAGTACAGACTAACCCCCCGAAAAAGCTCGGGGGTCCTGGATAGACGCGTATGGCTTGAACGGCTGCTAGCACCCACGCCAGTTCAGACACGGCAATCACGCCGCCCCACTGCAATACAGAAATGCCACATTTGAGTAACCACCTTCAAGTGACAGCGACTCATAAATCACTCTCTACTCAGTGCTGCGCCAATAGGATTTGCACTGTAAACTCTTTGGGGCCGTGAATTTGGTTGCGTGTTTGCATGTCTGCACAGACCCTTATAGGGCAGAGCCTGGAAGAAGCCTTGGGGTGCAGAAGTAGTAGCAGTAATAGTATGGTGCGCCAACCCCGCAGCCCCGAAAACCGGCACAAGAGCAAGGGGGAGTTCCCATGTTTATATAGAAAAATCATAGGGGTTAATGTCACAAACCAACGGGGCCGAAGAGAAGGAACAGGTGAATGGTAAAGAAGCATCAACATGGCGGTAACACATGCTCAGCACCTTAATTCCCACCCAACTCCACCGATCTCCGACCCCGCTGCGCACTCCCCTGCGTAGGGCTGACCAGGTTCACATGCACTGCTCTCTCTTCCCCTAACTCCAGCCTCCAGTTTCCTCCTCCCTTTCCCCTTGCCCCCCAGCCTCCGGGGGGTTGCTGGGAGTTGCAGTCCAAATTAAACACATCACAGCTCTGCAGACTGGCCCCTGGTTCCACCTCCTGTTACACACATCACATTCACATTACAGTAGTAATCGTTGTAATAATAATAATAATAATAGTAATAATAATATAAATTATTTAGAGCAATGTCCTAACTGGCCTCTTTAAATTGCCCATTACAGTTTGGGCACCATCTAAATAATAACAATCATTTATTTCCCCATCTTGACGCAGTGATTAAAGCTCTTCATCTTTCCTCTTCGCTGACTTGTTAATGAATTAGGCATATTATGTACCACGGCTTCTTCAAACACAGCTAACCTCAGAACATATATATCGGTCATCCCCAGTGTACATTAACTTTCAATTAACTACAAAACTAAATGCAATCGGTGTGCTGGAGGTTGAGAAACGCTTATCCTTCTGTAGAGAAGAGCCGGAGCATTTCCGCAAATATCATTAATAATGAATTGGTTAAGTATCTGCTTTTTTTGAACCATGCTTATTGGGGGGGGGATTGTTAACTAAGGCTTTTACTTTCCCCTTGGTGGACTCAGCTATTTTTACATTTCCCCTCTAATCAGAGCATAAAGAAAGGTAATCTGGAACTATATAAAAAAAGAGAAAGAAAGAGAGATCAATTTAAACGTGCCAAATCAATCATTTTAAATAGATTTAACAAGGGAAACAATATAAATACTAAGGAGAAAGATAGGTTACTCCGTAGCATAGTTGAACCTTGGGAAGCTCCCATTATTCTGACAGGACAAAGTTACGAGCTGATGCGAAGCTTATGGTCCCAGCTCAGATGACTGCAGCATTTATGCATGTAAACAGCAAATAACGGGGACGGCAGGCAAAAAAAGGCCCGTCCACACCAGCGATCAGGCAAAGTCCATCAGCAGCACCTCAAAACGCCAGGTTTCTACACCGACTGATCTGAATGCCCAACGGGGGTTACAGCTTTTGTATAGAGAAGAAATTTTTCAAGGCAGCCTGTAGAGAGAAATCTTTTCACATCTACAGTTTCAAAAAGTCAGCAGTAGTCTTGATCTAGATTTAAACAATATCTGCAAGCCAAATACTGTAGCCCTGGGTACGCAGGGGTCAGGTGCAAAGTCCACTGGTCGCAGTGGGAATCTTTCCGTTCAGTTCATTGAGCTTTGGATTGGGCCCAAGAAACGGGACGGGGATATTTTCATTGTCCCGCTGTAATAAAAGGTACAGAGGAAAAACAAGGGGACAGAGCCTGGATGTGTAATTCTGGGGAAGTCATTTCCAGAATTCGTATTTCAGGCTCATCGAGTCAATAAACATAAAAGATAAAGCAAGTAAATACCTTGCAAAATAAAGAAAGAGCCTCAAGATTTTTTTTTTTTTTACTTACATTAGTGAGGAAAATTGTGTTTTGGCGGGGGAGGTGGGGGGGGAACCACATCATTCTCTTAAGCATGCTTTTTTAATTCCAAGAAAATGAGATGTGGTAATGGACTATAGCCAATCTTGGGAATGGTTACAAGATTATAATTTACTGGAAGAAAACATTAAAAGCATCTTCTCCAGTCTGGTTTGAAAACAAGCCCAAACTGTGTAAGTGGTGCAATCTCCATTCCTGGAAATTTTAAAAATTAGGTTGGATAGACGCTTGGCTGGGATAGTTTAGTCAGGTATGATTCTGCCCTGAGCAAGGGGCTGGACTAGATGGCGTCCCTTCCAGCCCTACCTTCCTATGATCCAATTCCACTAGCACCCAGTCACTCTCTACATGTGTGGTCTCCCCACCCGCAGCGCTGCACACCTGGGTGATGCTATTAAAAAAGAAAGTCCCCCCCAAGGAAGGTGTCCTACTGACAGGTCATGAAGCTGCAGGGCTAGCCAGGCAATGGTGCACGTGCTCCCCAGTGCCTGCCCTACCTCCCTCTGAGGACCCAGACTTTTGGAAGGAGGAAAATGTTGCTGTGGGAAACCATCCCCCACCGCCTGGGAAGGCAAAGACCCACAAGTGAAGAGTTTCCAAGGCATGAACGAACCTGGAGAGTCAGCCACAGCCCAATAAAAACGTGTGCGGATGCTCCAGGGTTGCCAATACAATACTCCGCATTACTGATTAAAGCCCCTACTCCCACCATCGCATGAATAAGGGGAAAATCTCAGCTTTCCTTTCAAAAAAAGTAGTCATCATGGGCTGCTGGTAAAAGCTTAAATATGTGAACTGAGACAAAGGAAAACAAAAAAAACATAAACGAATTGAAAAAAAAACCACAAACCCTTGCCCTCTATGAATGCCTGAGTCAGAGGTTTCAGGCAGGAGGGGTTTCCAGTTCAGACTGGAGATTCAGAAGAACGAGTCTCACCCAAGTCAAAGTCAACACGATGCTTCCTCCTCATCAGGGTTGTTCCCCTCGTGGAGTCTAATTCCTTCGGCAGGCAGCAAAAGACACTACAAGAAACCATCTCTTCCCCTTCCTTGTTCCTCCTACAGATGCCAGGGACTCAGCTGCACTTATCTCGAACCCGCAGCATGGTCATCTCTACTGATACGGGCTGTCTGCATTAAACAAGCCAGCACCCACATTGAACTGCTCTACATTTGTCTCATGAGCTTGTTTTTCTTGATAAACAGCATGGGGCGGTGGCGGACAAGCCCTCTGCCGACGGGTCCCAGAGGGCACATCTACACTGCCTCCCAGGAGTGCCACTGAGAAGTGCGCTCCTGGCACATCATGTCACCAGCATGCAATGTCAAGCTGGCTACATTGCCTCGTGCCCGGTCTAAGTTGTACAGGCTAGGGACAGACATGACACATAAACTGGTTTAAGTGATCTGACTTAAAGCGCCCCTCAGAAAATGCCAGCTCTTCATTTTCACCTGTGTGTTGACTAAAGAAAAATAAAAGAGCAATTCTTCTGTTACGAAGAACTCAGTAAGACCACAATAGGTCTGAATGTTTTTGCCACTATGAATTCCTATTTGAAATACCTGGGTTTATCTTGTGAAACATGGTCACACACCAGTGTCACACCCTTGAAAAGATCACAAGACACCCCAGGGTGCTATGGCACCCTTGTGAGAATCATTGCTGTAGAAACACTGTAGGTACGCCCAGAGTGACACTTGTCCTCCCACTTGATGATCCACCCTTCACCTTTCCAGCTGAAAGGGGTTTTTTTGGATTAAAAAGGCAAGATGGTGAGAAGGGGATTGGTGGAAAGAATCCCACACCACTTCAAGCTTCCTGCACAGTGTGGATAGACACGGACCACGGTGCCCTGGGCATCTTTAAAAAAACATGCATCTCCTATTCACTTCAAGAGGATCCGGTTACTCTTGCAACCCTAAGGAAGGTGGAAATGCCACCCTAATTATATAGTATTCAGTCAGTCAATCATGGTCCACCTGAGCCTAGAAGGCCTGAATGGATAAGCCAAAGTGGTGGCTGAAGCAACGGGAAAGCAAGGGGGTCGCGGGGCTAGAGTTCACATCCCGGACCAGAAGGACCAGGTGCCCATTCCCAGTCTGGGGGATCTTTCGGCAGAAGTCACAAGTGACGCTTGAACACACGAGTGCACGCCTAAAACTAGGAAGCCTGCGTACAGGAAAAAAAAACGTCACCCGCTTAAAGAAAAAAGCATTAAAGGTGGAGACTGCTGCCTGCTCAAATCACAAGG